TGTGAAATGCTAAAAAGAAGGTGGACAAATTTTAAGGTCTCGAGCGCCTAGCGAAAAAGGACAAAAGCAAAGCAAGAATATATTCCATTCCACTTTTCTTAAAAGTTTAGTTGAAAAAGGCTTATTGGACTGCTTGGTCAATGTCGATCACCAGGAGATAAATTCATGAAAATAATAGGTGCTCAATCATGTGAAACACGAATCATCGGAACCTATAGGATGGGTGGCATAAAAAAGATGACTATTGCCAAAATCATTTACTATCAGCTTTCGTGCGATTACAAGAATTGTTACTTTCTTCCGGATATCCAAGCCCTTGCAACTAAAGTCAGAACAAAAGTGAAGATGGTAAAACAAGATCTCAAGGATGATTTCTCGTGAATATAACTATGAAAAGGAATTTCTCAGGACAAGAAGGGGCAAAACAGGAAGGAGCAATAGTGAATGATTTCTTGCCACCGAAATGCATCCTCATGTTGTTGTTTTTCTTCTTCTTCTTCTTCTTCTTCTTCTTCTTCTTTTGCCTTGCGGGCTACTTTTGACTAAAGTCCTGCCGACGACGCAAGAGGCGCACGCTAAAAAGCGTTGGTGGGTTTTCTTTTCCATGCTAGCATGACCCATCTTCCTTTTCTTTGCTTTATACCTTTTCATTATTATCACTTTGCTCTTTTAACAAGATTTTCCTCGGATTCTCTCGGACCATTTCGCCATGAATGACGGTTGAGGTCCCGGCGGGTTAATTACTTCGATAGTTAATTGATAGGCGGCCCCCATTTGATTAGATGATTTCCTTTTTTTGGCCGGCAGCATCTGATGAATGATTCCATAGCACAAATTCAATAATTTCTGGAGATTTTTAATGATAATTTGTAAAATAACACACGTTTGCTATTTTGCATGACGGGTTTTACTTAATGGCAATTTAATTACAATTGCTAGCAATATGTGGTTTTTTTTTTCATCAATGTTGTTAAAAAAGATGTGCACTTTTACTCAATAAGCACGGGCTTTTCGTCATTTGAAGTTTAACAAAATAAATCCGGCTTATTTAAAAGTAATGTTAATAAGTATACTAAAATTGATATATTAAGTGATATTGATCAAATCATCTTAGCAAGTGAATGAATGGATTCGTGAAAATAGATACTATACAAGTGTGAAAATACAAACGGTTCTCATTTTCTTTTATAAAAAAGTCATATTTGGAAAAACTGAATTTTCCAGATCTAGAGAATCTTGAGCTTTCCAAATTGCTATTAAAAATGTCCTTAACTTTCTACTTTATCAGGGAGAACATAAATTTTCAATTTTGTATTAAGTTGACATGGAATCTTAATTTTCTTTGAAAAAAGTCCTGACCTTTCGATTTTATATTGCAACAAGATATCTATATCGCAGATTTGACAAATAAGTTTAGTAGATAATTTCAGAGTTTCTACCTTAGCCCCTTGTCTAACGTATGCCATCACAACACTTGTCTTTTATTTCTTGGCCTGATCAGCCCATCAAACTAGACCGACGGAGTTCACCTTGATTAGGATGGGGGGAAACGAACTTGGTTGGAAGTTTGATGTCTGCTTTTGTTGACTTTGACTTTGAATGAATCTGCCCATTTATTTGTTTGGGCGGCAAAAGTTGATTGTAATCCCCAAAATATCTGCACCACATGTCGAGAGATTTTGCCGCGTTAAGGAACGCAAATAATTGTCAACTTTGACAGGCTGGGAGCAATGCTTCAGGAAAGCATCCTTATTGACCAATTTTGCAGCAAAACTAGCCCACGGCTAAGCATATTCAGCCAATCCTTTGGCTTTTCCAAGTTCAATGACCTACCGAAAAGTCATTCAAAAAAATCTTCCTATTATTAGTTCCTTAATGTTCTGTGGTGAAGGAGGAACAAAGGGTCTTGATACTTAAAGGCCCCCATGCATCTATACGAAAAGTCTTCCTTTTCTTTTGATAAGACTAGAAGTCAGGCAGTGGGATCCCACCTATTTTCTCTTCTTCCCCCGAGCTTTTGAGCTAATGGAGGAAGCTCGATTTCGATTCGAACGAAAGGAGTCTGATTTAAAAAACCAAAAGCTTAGTGGAGTATAATCAAAGCTCAAGCTATCAGAGAACAAATTTAATTTTCCATTGGTCTCAATTCGGGGAATTTGATACTTCCCAAGAGTTTTTTTTTACTCATCGAGTCATCGTGATTTTATATCTTCAATCTAAAATTTTTTGTTGGTCACACTAGGAATTTTGTCTGAAAAGACTTCAGAACTTGTGAATTCAGGAATGGAACATTTTTACACCACCGGATCTAACGAGATTTTATTTTCTATCGTGAAACATGAAATGTTTAGTTACCGCGAAATTGATTTAGAAACTTCGAAAAATACTCGCAAGCAAAAACTTTATTTTCTAAATAATTTGGCCAATCATGACATCAATCAAATAAAAAAATTTGATACTGTCTAATTTAATTAAATGGAAATGAAATGTGTCATATACGTATAGTTTGGTATTGCATCGAAATGTAATTATTAGATTAAAAGTTGCATGAGATTGGTCGATTTGATTTTGATGCGGACGCCAGCAATCTAAAACCTAAGCTCCCTATGCCTCGTTTTAACGTAGTAGTAACATTAGCTACCACTCTCGGAAAGAGAGAAGAAAAAAAGACAGAACAGCGTACGGTTGGTGCAAGAAGACTGAAACACCACGGGTTTAGAAGGGCAAAGTCAAAAGTCTATGAAGACTTGGACTACGAACAGTCCATGAACCAACTTGCTCGAGAAGGAATCACACCAATGATTCATTTTGCGATTCCCTCCTATCAAATATCATCATATGACAATTGAAAATCATATAAAAATAAACTTTTAGAGTGTGTTTATCTCGGTGAGGATTTTCTTGTCATAGGAAAATGTTTTTAGGAAATTTAATTTCAGAGAAAGTAAATTAAAAATAAATTGATTATGGTGAAAACACGTTGAAAAAATTGACTTTATCGTAATTGGTAATAAGTGAAACCCATTAAAGGCGGCTTGTATCATTAAAAGTAACATATAATGACTAATAAACTCGAATCGATATTGTCTTTGTTTAATCTGTAATCCCATCAAAATAACAACGATTACAAAGAAATTAGGATAAAAATTATGAAACCATATTTGTAAAGTATTATATATGATCTTGTTTTTGGGAATGTAAGTAAATTTAGCACTGATGAAGTATATTCTTCTCACTTCAACACAGCAAGAGATCAGGAAAAACGGTTCCTTCTTACCAAATCGTTATTCTCTAAGCTTATTGTTTTTAGTCCATGGTAAACATTTTATATTGATCAAATAATTTTACGTAATTCAATTACCGGAAAAGTACGGAAATTTTTTTCTCAAAAATGATTTTTCATCAAACAAACTGACCCTAAGTTAAATAAAGAAGATGGTAAAACAAGATCTCAATGACAATTTTTCATGAATATAACTATGAAAATAAATTCCTCTGGGTAAGGGAAAAATCTTGCCGACAACAAAAAGGCACGCTAAAGCATTGGCAGGGTCTTCTTTTCCGCGTTAGGATGACCCATCTTCTTTTTCTTTACTGTATTGCTTTATGTCTTTTCATTATCACTTTGCTTTTTTAACCAGATTTTCCTTGGATTCTCGCTGGCCACTTTCGCCGTGAACGCCGGTTGAGGTCTCCAGTGGGTTTATTACTTTGATAGTTGATTGATAGGCGGCCACCATTCGATAAAAGATTTTCTTTTTTTTGGCCGGCAGCATTTGATAAGTAGGGCTTTTGAATTTTTTTCATCTCTGAACCATTTTTCGAAGAAAAGATCAAGTGAGATCAATGGAGGGGAGACAATGCTCGGTTTATTCATCATTGGATTGATCATAATCCGGACTTTGAAAAGCTTATGATATTGTACGTGCCAACTCTTTACGGGTGACTTTGGTTGGCTAAAGAACGGTTGATAGAAGATGTTTTTGGTATCTGCTGCTTATGTTGGTTGTCGTCAAGTCAGTATCGTGAAACTTTAGTTGCGAAGTGGCTATTTTCTATGGGGAAACACGAAATGTTCAGTTACCACAAAATTGATGTAGAAACTTGAAAAATACTTACAAAATAAACACCATATGTTTAGAGAAACTTTGATCTTCAAATAGACTAACCAATCGTGTCATCAATCATCAGAAAAGTTGATACTGTCTAATTTAACTAAATGAAAATTACGAAATTGCCATATACATATAGTTTTGCCTTGCATCGAAATACAGTCATTAGATTAAAAATTGCAATAGCTACCACTCTCCAAAGAAAAAATAAAATAAAAGAACAGCGTGGGGGGGAGGAGATGTGTCACAGAACTAGAAGGGCAAAGTCAAAGTATTCGAAGACTTGGACTACGAACAGTCCACGAACCAGATTTCTCAAGAAGGAATCACACATCGACCAAAACAAAAAGGAATCACACCAATAATTCATTTATCTGCGCGTGCGGGGGAGAACAAAAACGTCAAAGAAAATCTCTGCGATCCGGCACAGGAACAACAACTCATATGATCAGACGGGGGGCTGTTTTCCCTAAAATAGCCCTGACTCGACACCCAAACCCCGAAAGTGACCCTACAATTATGTACAAGCGAAAACACGCCACGGGCGAGTGCGCGGGGCATTCATCGCAACGCGGTGTTGTCAAAAACTCCACAAAGACAAAGATTATTAAAATTCAAGAGCATAATAACCGAAAGCACTCGATGGCTCCCATCTTTTTAGAATTCCATTAGTTTATTTACTCCGCAATTGTATCTTCCTATTTTTTCAATTGCGTTATGACGGTGAAGATAAAAGAGAAGAATTGAGTTGGGAGGGGCCACTTTGGTTTCGAAAAAACCTGCATTTGTCAACTTTGACAGGCTGTAATGAAACGTTCTTATTGACCAATTGTAGCAAACTGGAGACCCTGACACTCTGCATATTTAGCCAACCCTGTCTTCCACGTTTAATGACCCGCAGAGATCTCCGTTTGTTAGTTCTGGCTTCTAAACTTTTTCCATCTCCAGTTGCCACTGCTTTTGCTGCTATACTTTTCAAATTTTTTTCTTTGAAGAGAAAGATCAAGTGAGATCAATGGAGGGGAGGGCGAAAAAAAGAAGCATCTGTGAAAATGATGGAACGGTAGGAGGCGCTTCTTCTACTCGCACTTCAACAGAAGGTTATGGAATGGCTACTTCACCAGGACATGACTATGAAGTATTCTTAAGCTTCAATGGATCAGATACTCGAGCAGGTTTTACCGACTTCCTTTACACTAGTCTTAATGATGCGGGAATCCGCACATTTAAGGACGACAAAGAGCTCGGTGTTGGGGAAGAGTTTGGCCCAGAACTTCTCCAAGCAATTAATCAGTCGAAGATCTCAATACCTATCTTTTCGAAAGGCTATGCCTCTAGCGTATGGTGTCTCAAGGAGCTAGCCCAGATGGTCGAGTGCCAGAAAACTGGAAGACAAAAGATCATCCCTATTTTTTATGATGTGGCGCCTTCAGAGGTGCGACACCAAACAGAGGGTTATGCACAGGCCTTTCTTGCACATGAAAACAAGAAGCGACATGACGAAAAGACTATTCAAGGGTGGAAGGATGCTCTCAGTGCAGTGGGAGCAATAAACGGATGGGACCTGCATAGCAAGAAGGAGAACAGGTGATTGCTTTAAGCATTCCATCTCATGTACCTTGTACCATTAAAACTTGATGTGTTTCAGGTTTCTTTTCTAGATTTGTGTTAGCCCTGTTTAAATTGAATTCTGTGTTATTGAAGTTATACTGCTGAAATCTCGCTGTAATGGCACAATCCCAATTTTGTCCCATTTTATTCCAAGCATCATTTTTTTTCCAGTTTAGTTCATTTGTTAACTGTAAGTACCAACGCTAATTCATCTACAATGGAATAAATCCTTGAAGAACACATTCCGAATTTAATTTGGTCTTGTCAGAACATAGTTAATTCAACACAATTTTCTAACTCATTGTCTTTTGCCTCCAACAAACACTAGGCGAGAAGGAGAGTTCGCAAAAGAACTTACCCATAAGGTTTTCAGCGAGTTGAAAAAGGGTTATCTAGCGGTATCAAACTGCTTGGTCCGTGTCGACAACCATGTGGACGCAATCATGGAAAAGATAGGTGCTGGGACAAGTGAAACACGGATTATAGGAATCCACGGGATGGGTGGCATCGGAAAGACGACTATTGCCAAAATGATCTACAATAAGCTTTTACACGACTTTAAGAATTGTTGCTTTCTTCGCGATATTCGAGAAGTGTCAGAACGTAATGGCATTTGCTGCTTGCAGAATCAACTCATCTCTGGCATCCTCAAAACGAAAGGCATGGATATAAAAGACATTGATGAAGGAACTCAGACAATTAAAGAGAGGTTGTCTAATAAAAGAGTCCTCCTGCTTCTTGATGATGTGCATGAAAAGAATCACGTGGATGCACTTGTAGGTGAGCATGATTGGTTTGGTAAAGGGAGTAAACTTATTATTACTACCAGAAACAAAGAAGTTCTTGATGTTCTTAAAGTGGACGACCGTTATGAGCTTATGGGCATGGATCACGATCAATCTCTTCAACTTTTTAGCAAACATGCCTTCAGAAGAGATTCCCCTTTAGACGAGTACATCAAGCAATCCAAGAGGGCAATACGCATTGCTGGAGGTCTTCCGCTAGCTCTAGAAGTCATAGGCTCACTTTTATCCGGCAAAAATAAGAAAATGTGGGAGGCCACATTGAAGATGCTAGAAAGTGTTCCTGATGATAAAGTTCAAAGTAAACTGAAAATAAGTTATGATGCATTAAATGATCGGCAGAAGCATATATTCCTCGATATAGCTTGCATTTTCATTGGATATGACAAAGACATTGTGGTTCATTTCTGGGATGAATCAAAATTTCCGAAAGTAGCCTTGGAAGTTCTGCAGAACATGTCTTTGATAAAGATTGGAAAGCATAATGAAGTGTGGATGCATGACCAACTCAGAGACCTCGGAAGAGAAATAGTTTGTCAAGAAAGTAAGATGAAAATAGAAATGCAAAGTAGGGTGTGGGATCCTAAGGAAGCATTGAAATTGCTGAGGAGACATGAGGTAAAATCCCCTGTACGTAAATCTCCATGTTACTTATGGACATTTTCTTTTAAAAAAAAAGCCAGTTACTTTTTTGTGTTCTCTAGCACTACTGTGACCTACTCAAACCAATATTTTTGCTCTGTCAAGATAAAAGTAACGATAGCACTCCAACTCAACCCCCTAAAATAGTGAATTTGAATAAATGTGTTTCGCTTCAACTCTTTTGTTTTTAAATTTTTCCATTGGGCAGGGAGAAACAAAAGTTGAAGCTCTTCATCTCCACTTTGACCATGAGCAGCAATATTGTTTTACCTGTAAGGACTTTAAGAGAATGTCAAATCTGCGGTTTCTTGAAGTTAACGGTTCGGAGGAATATTTTCGTGCAGAAGAGAGGCTTCTTTGGCACGAATCGCCATCAAATGTTCCTCCAACTAATGTTTTTCAGGAGAATTCATATCTCCTTCCACAATTACGATGGCTTTCTTGGCGTGATATTCCCCCAACATTTAACATTACAAATTTCTCCATGGAGGATGTGGTTTTTCTTGATCTATCTTGCAGTGAAATCACGGATGATTGGAAGGGGTGGAGGCACATGGAGGTATCTTATATGCTAGACAACACTTATTATTCCGTCTTATGAGATTCAAAAGTAATCTTTGCATAATTTTTCTTTTCACAGGTGATGAAGAATTTGAAAGTTGTGGATCTGTCCTATTGCGAACACTTGAAGAAAACCCCCAACTTCCCTGCTCATTCAAATTTAGAACATTTGATCCTATCGAATTGTCCATCATTGACCGAAATTGATAGATCGATTTGTCATTTGAAACGCTTAGTTTCCTTAGATGTAAGCGAATGTGAGAATCTTCAGAGGCTGCCAGGTGTGCTGGGCGGAGATCTTGCAAGCCTTGAATACCTATGTCTGATACTTTGCAAATCGTTGGAGAGGCTTCCGGATACAATCGGGAATTTGAAATCGCTGATTGAGTTGGATATATCCGCGACACCGATCAAAGAACTACCCGATTCCATCGGAAAATTGAAAAATTTGAAAGTAGTGAAGATGGAGCAGAGTGGCATAAGCAAAATACCCGATGCCTTTTGGACGATTAAGAAGCTCGAAGAAATACATGCCAACAAAATGTCTTTTGACAAGCGTTACCATGTGAATATTGGCAATTGCATCTCCAGCAATCAATCCCTGAGGATCTTGAGATTGAAAGGGGCGAATATATGCGCGCTACCACGGAGGCTTCCTGAAAGTCTCATCGATTTATGGCTGTCGGAGTTGTGCATGGACACGTTTCCAGATCTCTCGAACCTCACTAATTTAAAGAAACTGGATCTGAGATTTAGCAGACGTGATTATGATGGGAAATCATATGGGCCCATGGAAGATCCAATACCACGGTGGATGGGGAACTTGAGCAATCTGGAGTCTCTGGCCCTGCGCTTTGATTGTGAGACCGCCTTACCAACATACCTAAGCCTCCCTCGTCAACTCAAGTCACTTTACCTCAAGTGCGGGATTACCACCTTACCAACAGGCCTCCCTTCTCAACTCGAGTCACTTCGCCTCTTGACCCCTAAACTGCGTCACCTCCCGAGGCTTCCCCCAAGTTTATCCTCCTTACGTTTGCAAGGTTGCAACTCACTTTGCTCGATGGAGGATCTATCTGATTTGAAGAATCTATCATCTCTCCGCATTTCGGGCGCTGCAATTGCAGAGATTCGAGGCCTTGGTTGTCTGGAGGACCTACGAGATATGGCGCTTAAGAGGCTTGGACAGGTGAAGATACTACCTGATCTAAGCAATTTAAACAAACTGAGGCGTCTTGATGTATGGAATTGTTTTAATCTGGTCGAGATTCAAGGGGAACTACCACGGTTTTTGGATTATTTGGATATTTCTTCATGTCGTTCTTTGCTGAATTTGCCCGATTTGTCGAGCTTGAAGGGGTTGCAACAGGTTGGAATAAGTGATTGCGCTAAATTAAATGTGGAGGCAATTCTTGCATATGCTCGGATGAAACCACGACATTTGCGGCTTGCGAGCTTTGACCAGCTGCAGATCCTACCTGATCTAAGTAATTCAAACAAACTAAGAAGTCTTGATGTAGACCTCTGTCGTAATCTGGTTGAGATTCAAGGCGAATTACCACAATCTTTGGAAAAATTGGAGATTTCTTCCTGTGAATCTTTGCGAAAGTTGCCTGATCTGTCGAGCTTGAAGGGGTTGCGAGAGGTTTACATAAGTGGATGCGGTAGTCTGGTTGAGATTCAAGGCGAACTACCACAATCTTTGGAAAAATTGAAGATTGATGACTCTGAATCTTTACTGAAGTTGCTTGATCTGTCGAGCTTGAAGGGGTTGCGAGAGGTTTGCATAAGTAGCTGTGGTAGTCTGGCTGAGATTCAAGGCGAACTACCACAATCTTTGGAAGAATTGGAGATTGATGACTGTGAATCTTTACGGAAGTTGCCTGATATGTCGAGCTTGAAGAGGTTGCGAGAGGTTTGCATAAGTAGATGTGGTAGTCTGGCTGAGATTCAAGGCGAACTACCACAATCTTTGAAAAAATTGGAGATTGATAGTTGTAAATCTTTACGGGAGTTGCCTAATCTATCGAGCTTGATGGGACTGCGAAAGGTTGAAATAAATCGGTGCAAGAAATTAGATGTGGAGGCAATTTCTTTGCTTTGCTCGGAGAAGGGAGTCGAATTTCTGGAAGAAGACGATGAATGGGACGGAGAAGACGACGAATCTGAATCTGAACATGATGGAGAAGACGACAAATCTGAATCTGAGGGAGATGATGCCGAATCTGAATCTGAAGATGAGGGAGATGACGACGAATCTGAATCTGAAGATGAGGGAGATGACGACGAATCTGAATCTGAATCTGAAGATGAGGGAGAAGACGACGAATCTGAATCTGAATCTGAATCTGAGGGAGAAGATGAGGAATAAGTGCACGTTGCTCTTGAAAGCTTCTTGATCCACGACCACAAATTGTTCCCTCATGTTCAAACTTTAAACAACTTGAGGTAACCTATTTCATCTGACAAACAATTGTTTTCCCTTTTCTGCAATCAAATTCTTTCACATATATGAACAGAAAAGTTCACATGCACTTTTTTAATTACCTTTTCACGAGTTGATGACTGAAAATCTGATGAAGGTATTGAAATTGTGATACATCCGTACAACCAGAAGGTTCTTAATTATGTTCAAATATTCGTTCTCTTTTCCTTGTTTGGTTTGGCTTTTTTGGCTATATATTATTTGGATGGTTTCTCCTTGCTTTTATGTTTCCCAGCTGGAGGTATTCATCTCGATTGCATAGTTTTTATTTGACATGTAACAAATTATTAGAGATCCTTGTCGATTTGCTGCTTCATATATTTCGAAGTTGATAACCTCGCTTTGCTTTGGAGATAACTTTGTTATGCCGTAAATAATTAGATGGAATGTGTGCTGGAAAGTCATATAACTATGGTTCTCATCCTGGAACTTTACGGCATAATTAACTCATCGTCGCAACTGTGAAGAAGAGAGACACTCTGTATTGATATGCTTATGTTCAGTTTATTGTCCAGGATAGGTGTGCTTCTTACTGAGATTTGCAAATGTTAGGGAGAAGTTAAAAAATGAAGAAAGACGTATTTCACTTGGGTAGAGGCATCAATAGTTCGCCCAGAAAAACTTCCATCTTTGGCAGGATAGAGGAGCTACTTAGCTTCTCCGAGGTATCATAAATCATCTTATAGTCAAAGGCTAACATTTCAGTATTACTGGTGCGTAGGACATATGATAAGTCTCATTGGGGTCAGAAATCATGTAAATGGATTCTTGTGTGAACTCCATTATCAGCTACACCTTCTGGAAATGGTTGTGCCTAGGTGATTCTCTGTAATAGAAGCCCTTCCATTCACCTCAAGCTGTACTAGAGCACTCTTTTAGGGTTTAAGATTGACAAGAAGTGCTAAGGGAGACATCTCAGCAACCTGCTTTTTTGCTGGTTTCTAATGTTGTTGAAAGAATTTAGAGTTTGAGAAACTTACAGAGAGCTTTCTATGCAGGGAGCTGCGGCTAATGGGGCAGCTGTACAAATGAAGACCAAATAAAGGAAAATGAGGATGACATATAATGTCAACTAAATTCCCTTTCACGATCTTGGGGTGGTATTCACCTGTTGAGTGACAGAAACTTGAATATTAATGACAGAAGTCGTTGCCTATTGATGAAATTGTTAAATCTGTTAAACTCGGTTTGAAGTTTTAGTTGAATGTTTGGCCCTTTTTTCCAGAGAAATCATTAGAGCAGGGCGGAGGGATTCATTGTGCAATTTGGGGCATCGCACGTAATGTTTTTGGGGTTAAAAGGGCTATTTAAGCAAACCTAATTGTTTATTAATCCGTTTTGTGGGGCCATAAGAATGAATATTGCTCTTCATTTGGATGTGTGTTCTCTTCATTGACAGGCAATAGAACTTGCTTATCAGTACGCAAATATTCCTTTATGAGGAAACACTAGAAGGGCACGGGGAGAAAAATTGTGTGCACTTAAAGAGGTGTTCACAGCAGTTTTAGTTGCGCCTCCCAAAACCAATTCATGGACCTTTTGATGTGAAAATGGTGTTCAAGGTAGTCTTACTCATGAGTATGATAGGCGCTCACGAAGCAGGAAACACGAATTGTGACATTCTGAATTTCGGGCCATTTTTGGGATTTATAAAACGTGTAATTCGTCGGTGTGCTTATAGTAAAATCTCGCTCGGGAACCGATCACCCCTTGGTTATTGATTTTAAAATTGAGATTTCGCTATTAGAATCGCACTTGATCGAATTTGGCGTTATTTGAGCCCAAACTTTGGTGTTGAATTTCTCGGAGTTACGGGACGAATTTAATTGGACGGTGTATCGATATTATTGTGGCTGAACATCGATATTACCGGGATATGCGAAAAGTGAAATTTTGACTCAATGCAGATTTAGGCAAAGAGACTTCCCTCGTAGTATATTTTTATTAATATCTTTTGGTCCTTTTCCTATATTATTAATAGGAATTTTCGTGGACCGTTGGATCATTTTTGAATTTGATCAAGGACCGTCGGATCGCACTTGAGTGCGATGTTGACTTTTCCTCTCTCTCTCTCCCTTCCCTTTTCCACGCCGGTCCCCCCCCTTTGCGTCTGACACCCACCAGCCCCCACCAACTCTCTCTCTCTCCTCTCCTTCTTTTTCTTTTTCTTCTTTTCTTTTCTTCTCTTCTTCTTCTTCTTCGCTGGTTCCACTTCTGGTTCGTGCTTCTGCTCCTTCGTGCTGCTCACCGACCAGACCGCCCTCCCTTGCCGGAACCAGCCGCTCGCCGCGCGCCGCCTTCCTGCCGCGAGCCACCGCCACCCTAGCTCCCCTCTGGCCGAGCCGCACCACCGGCCACGCCCCGTAGTCGCCTGTCGCTGGCCTGTTCCAGCCAGGCGCGAGCCGCGCCTCCCGCCGGCCCAACCACCGCCCGTCACCGCCGAGCGCCGCTCCTCCCCACCGTGAACCACCCCCGTCCCAGCTCTCCCCCTGGCCGTGCGGCACCGCCCCTGGCCGCTCGGAACCTCTTGTCACTGGTTCGCCCAAGCCGCGTGCGAGAAGCGCCTTTCGCCGATTCGGCCATCGTTCGTCTCCGCCGCTTGCCGCCGCTGTCCGGCACCCCAAACCACAGCCACCAACTGCTGTTCACGCCGGGAATAGCCCTGACCAGCCACCACAGCAGCCACTCCCTTCGCTGCGTTCGTTCGTCGCCCGTCCGCCGGTCGCCGAGCCCGAGCCGGAGCAACCCGAGGACACCGCGGACCGCCTCGTCGCCGCCGTCGTCCTCGCGTCGTCGCCGGCATTAGCCGAGTAAGTTAACCCCTAATCCCGTGTTTAGGGTGTTAAACTTGCTTAGGGTAGTTTAGATTAAGTTTAATTAAGATTATGTTTAGTTAATTAGAATTAGGCGATAGGTTATCGGTAATAGTTCAATAGGCTATTGTTGGATTGCGATAAGTTATCGCGAATGTGGTGATAGGTTATCAATTATATTATGATTGTTGATTATTTTATTAGATAGTAATATTTTCGGAATTAAATATTATTTTATTATTTTCGGATTAAATATTAATATTTTATTATTAAATAATTAATTTCCGAAAATTAAATATTATTATTTTCGGAAAATTTCTAACGTCAAATTGTGATGCCAATGTTGGATTTCGCCGTATAAGTTGGCGTATTTGGAAATTGGTTTGAATGATTTTGATTCGAGAAAGTATTTTGAATTTTGGAAAATTAAATTATTCTTGGATATTATTAAATGATTAAATTCCGAATTTATTTATTATTATTTCGGAAAATCTTTAATCTCAAATTATGATTTCCAGCTTGTATGGTGATGATTATGGCGTGAATTGTTGTATTAAATTGATTAGATGACTAATTGTTTAGAATGGAAGTTTTCAGCGAAAATTTATGAGACTTTTGGAATTAAATTATTTTATTCTGTTATGCCAAGTAATGTTAGTGATACTTTGTGATTGATATTCGTGTTTGATATCGAAGAGTGCAAGAATTGATTATTGTTTGCATGTGTGACCACTTGGTTTGTTATGCGGCATTGTGGGAGCACTATTCGTGGACAGACGTGGCTAATTGAAAAGATAATAATTGGCCGGTATGCTTGTGTGCTCGTGTGGTCACACGTTAAAGCCGTCTTGCTGTGTATCGCTTGACGTTGCCCGATTTATCGGATGCTGGGGATAATGAGTGCCGATACCCGGATGCCTTGTCGCGGCCCGAGGCCGGACTCGATGCTCCTTACGGGATACCATCTTACTGTGTATCGTTTGATGTTGCCGTATTGGAATGCCGTCATCCCGTGTATCGTTTGACGTAGCCGTGCCCGACGGGCGGGACGGAGCCCGGTTTTACCGGTAGACCGCCATCTTGCTTGCGTATCGCTTGATGTGTGGTGGCCGAGGGGCGTAATAATTGGAATACGTGTGATGCATAGTGCTTGATTATGGGGTAGAAACCTGCTAGGCATGGTATGGGGCGTGCCCAAGCGGGTTTTGCCTTATAATCGAGACACGCGCGACCGTGTTGCATTAATGCATGGAAAATCTCGTTAAATGCTTCGAGTATGTGACATATGCATTTCATCAACGTGTGTACCAAGGCGAGGTGAGGATGCCTGTGGTTGTTAATGATGTTGTTGTCGCCGTTTCGCCTGTTTAGGGACCCCCGTGCGAGTTGGCCTCCTAAGCGGGGCTTAGGCCGTTAACTTATTGAGATTTTATCTCATTTGTTGTTGTTAACCCCTTTTTCAGGCCCTTAGCATGTCGACGCACCCAGTGTGGTTCAGGTCGTTTGAAAGCTGGTTTTTGGAGTTCGACCTGTTGGTGGAGTAGACTGACCCCAGCCTGATATCTTTTTGCTGGCTTTTTGTGGCAGCGCCCGAAATGGGCTTGTAAGAATATTCCCAGGGGTTAATCAAGTGGAAATTAAAATAGTGTTGTTTGGCTGTTGTGATTTGTTTTCCTGACTATCCCTATTTGTTGTTGTCCGGGGATTGTTGTGTTCGTTTCCGCATGCGTAATTAAAAGATAAAATGAAGGGTCGGCGACGAGTCCTGGGACGTCGCATCATAATGACCATAGCGGGATGTTGCGTGTCCGTAGGGTTCGGGGCGTGACACGAATTGTTGGAATTCAATTGAATGAGCGGTGTCATAAAGTCGACTCTCGCCAAAATTACCTACAATCAGTTTTCACATGGTTTTGAGCACTGTTGCTTTTTTTTCTAACAATCGTGATTCTTCAGAGCTCAAGGGCATGCAGTACTTGTAGAATCAACTCATCTCTTGTGTCCATAAATGGAAATTGACTGAAATAAGTAATGTTGATGAAGGGATCAAGACAATTAAAGGTAGGCTATCTAATAAAAGAGTTCTCTTCCTTTTTGATGATGTTGACCAGAAGAAACAATTGAATGCGCTCGGGGAAATATCTATGATATTCAGGCATTACTGAATTCTTCAACGCTGAATATCAAGTGCTGAAGGATCTCGAAACTCTTAATGCTTCACATTGTTCATTGTTGAAGATAATCTCTTCCATTGATCACTTAACATCTCCTTCGAGGCTATCTTTCAGAAGCACCATAATTACACAACTTCCCCTGTTGATTGGAGCTCTTACAAGCCTTGAATACTTGTCTTCAAAAGAATGTGAATGTATAGAGAGGCTTCCGGACTCGATTGGCAAACTGCGATCACTACTTGAGTTTGATATTTCCTACGTGTGCATTAAAGAGCTACCTGACTCAGTGGGAAACATGAAAAGTTTGAAAGTAGTGAGGATGAACAATTGTTTTATTGGAAAGATACCTAGTGCCTTATGGTTGTTGTAAAAGCTAGAAGAAACAGACGCAGCATATGGTGAAAGCTTGTAACTGGAAATTCCAAATGACATTTGCGGAAATTCGTCATTGAGGATCCTAAAATTGACACTGACTGAAACATGCCGAGTACCAAAGCTTCTAGGAAGTCTTGTTAGTTTGCACATTAATACATCGTCAACGATATTTCCAGGTTTCTCAAACCTTACAAGTTTAAATAATTTGTATCTGGCCATTTGACGAAATGCTTACCCCGTAGACAATTGTCAACTTGTGGAAGATACTATGCCATGGTACATTGTGAGATTAAATAAATTGGAGTCTTTAACAGTGTCATCTGCTATTGTAACCACCTTATATGTCTGCTGTTGTAACCACCTTATCAACGGATATTGGTAAGCTTTTTCAACTCAAAAGACTAGAACTCCGGTGTGCTAATTTGTTGTGCCTCCCAAGGCTTCCCCTGGAGTTTATCTTATTTATGTGTTGAATCTTGCTGGTGGATGAGAAGAGCGATGGTTTTTTTGAAATTTGAAGAGACTGTCAGAACTAAGAATGAAGAACTCTGCAACATCAGAGATTCAAGGCCTTGACTGTTTGGAGTATCTACCAATTTCGGAGCACTTCGATCTTGAAAAAGGGAGAGAGTTTCCCTGATCTGACTCATTAGAAGAAGTAGAAGTTAGTTACACTAGATTATTGTAGTAATGTGGATTTTGCTTGTCGCAAACTACCAGAATCTCTGGAAGAATTGTTGATTGAAGGCCCTGCCATCCTTGATGTAAGTTGATCGGGTAGAAATACTTTGCAGAGGATGACATGCGTGAGACTTGACTATTTCAACTTGAAGAGGTTCAAATGATGCGAGGCCTAGCATTGCTTAGGAGATTCGGCCATTTCTCGAAAAATTGAGAAGACATGCTCTGTAGAGGAGTGCATTTTCCAATAAGAAGTGCATGCGATTCTTGAAAGGTCCTGCAATTACAACCAGATTTGTTGTCAAGGAAGCTTGGAAACTTAATCATATTGCTTATTGCCCTATGTCATTCTAGCAGATATTAGTTATTGTCTTTCCCGGAATCGTATTCTTTATACTAAATTAGAATCATAATTTGCCAAATTGACTTGAAACTTGTATACTTGTATAGTTAATTGCTGGCTGTTTTTGCAATCACTTTCTACCTTTAAGATGGATGGCTATAAACTGCTCATGAAATGGGACCATGGTTTCTTTCGATCTATTTCATGAGTTCGATTTGCTTTAGATGTATTCCCTGTTGACGGTTTTGGTTGGCGAATTAAGTTTTCAGTAAACGACAAAGTCAAATTGATGCTAGTTTACTATATTCAAGTGCATTAATTTGGTCAATTTACATGTTGATCTTCTATGTGAGATCATTGGAACCTATTGTGTTGTACTTTAAATTTGAAGCTGATATCCATGCCTTGTAAATATTAACTTTGTTACACCTTAAACAATGAAGGATATATTCAAATGTATAGGCTTTAATCGGTTATAGAAGCTGTGCCATTTGCCTTTTGGTTATCCTAGGGATGGAGCTTTAGGTTTCAACATTGATAAGGAGAACTGCTCCCAACAAAAGTCCTATATGACCGCCTAAGCTTTTTCTATCAGTAACAAGTAAGAAAAATTTACAAGGTCTTTCTGTGTAGGTTAGTTGTGCCTGTGGCTAACTCAGTTAATATATCTTTTCCAACGCTTTGATGTTGTACTTTGGCTTTCATCATAACGTACAAACTCTTACTTATCATATGTTGTCAAGGAATTAGTTGGTCTCTTGCACAATGTGCTTTGAATGGTCATGATGAGCAATATATCCTTTGAAATGATGAAGGAAATTTAGTTTTTCAGGTTTCCACTGATGTTAATTCTTGTATACCGGAAAAAAGAAGGTAAAAGCTTACAACTCTCGTTCCAAAGGCTGATCAGTGTTACAAGTCCAAGCCAAGATGATATAAGTCGTTTACCTCCTAAAAGTTAAGATTTAGCAAAGGTTGCCAGTGGAACTGATGCAAGACAAGGTCATCATCGATTTCCAAGATGGCTTGATCATAATCCCCTGCCAGGAAAGAGTTGAAGTACTTGTGCCAAGAAGTCTATTGTGACAATGTGCCTATAGCAGAAGGTAAGGCCACAGATTGAGCAGTGGTCTCCCTTGGCACTCTTTGTTTCACCTTGTAAAACCAATTAATTGCCCAACCGTGCAAGTCTCACAGTTCCAAAGTTCACACATCTGCCAATTTTGCTGCATGATTCAACTATAAATAGCTCAGCTCAGCATCCACACATCCTTATTAGGTTTTGTCGAGTCTGGTAAACAAAGCCACGGGCCCAAGATTAGATTGACAGGTAAACTTGTGAACGTATTTATTTAATGGAAGTCATGGAGTTGTATTTACAAGGATGACACATTCAACTTCGTGCTATTTACATTCAGAGTGAATTTGAGTAGAGCTCTTATGCTTGTGATGGATATGGACAACAGATCAATGGAATGACCGTCATCACAGAGGTCACTGATGATCTTTGAGAAAAAAGGTGCTGACCCAGGAGCATTTTAACTGAAGTTGTTCTTGGCATCAGAGTCTGAAGGCAGCCTCAATGCAGAAGCAGAAAGATTCCTGGAAACAAAAAGATTTCCTTTGACATCTTCACCTCCATATTCCTTTAATCGTGCGTCCATGACGATTTTGCACGATCCCCATGTCTCAGCCATTAATCCCACACCATAGTAAACTAAATGGTCCGTAAGGCTGTTACCAGTTACTGATCTGCAGAGACGCACTCTCATCAGTTGTCCACATATATTCCTGGTAACAAAGGACCAACATTCTCTAGAACAAGCTGGTCTGTCACACGACTTGTTGCGTCTAGCATGACAAATCCACAAACTAATTGCTAGAACAAGTAGCTACGACTGAAACAACATCATTACCTGCTGCATGATGGATCTTCTCCAGAGCTATCACAAACTTTCTCAACCTGATAAACCAGACTACCAAATCCTATATTATATAGCCATACCTACAACAAAGGGAACATTCCAATTACATGTGAACACTGACATAGAAAATATTATGATTAGTCACCAGAGAAGCAGGTGGAATCAGATCATTTTCACATTATCTCACATCAATATGTTTATCCGTAGCTGTCATTGAGCTAGTCGCCGATAATTATAAGCATTAGTGGATGTTGACATACAATAATTAAAATGCGTATAATTGCACAGAGCCTAAGATGCCTAAGACTAGGTTAAGACAGCCTTCAGAGAGAGAGAGAGAGAGAGAGAGGTTAAGACTAGCTTATCAGCCATCAAAGAGAGAGAAAGAGAGTATATAGCAGATACTATGATGCGTCTTAAACTTTGGAATTGGTATGAAAAAACTAATGATGGCTTGTGCAGGAATGAGAGTTACTCAAACATTTCTGAAAAGTCATGAGTACTACAAACTATCCTGCTTTGCTAAGAAGATAAAAACAAGACAGTTATATTTTATACGTTGAAAAAAGAGAGTAAATACATTGTTGGAATAAATGAGACTTCACCAGGAAGATAGGTTGAAAGAAATGCAAAGAAAACGTCAAATTCAGTCAGCGACAATTCCCCATAATTTATATGATCAAAGCCTTACCTCTCTAGGGAAGTGATGGTAAGTCTTCTGTGGGAACCGAGAATAGTACAGAGGCACAATATCATGTCCATTAGTAATACGTGTCGTATTTGGCGCGCGGTCACTGTAGTAAGACGCAAACACTGCATTGCCAATACTAGGTTGTCCAAATGTTAAAACCTGAACATTCCGTGCTTCATGATTGACCTGAAAATAAAGTGTTCCCCATTTATACAAGTAAATCAAGTGAATGTGCTGGTCTAGAAAAAACAGCTTCAGCACACATACTAGACAGCCAAATAACTTCAATGTTAATACATCAATGGCCCTTTCAGGACGGAAAAAGAAACACTATGCACCAATAATCATATATCGCATTTCACATACAATGGTGAACAATAGAACAGTCCTCTCTCTCCATTAAGGCTGAAGGTCTAGCGTTAGTCTTTCAAGATCCCATCCATAATTTTGCCAACACCAAACCTCACACCCACAGTAAAACCAACCCCACCCCCCGCCCCAAGAAAAGGTGTTAATAATATGGAATAGTGGGATTGGTGGTGAATTTACAAACGAGGCGCATTTTAATGCTGCCACAAGAAGCAATTGGATGTTGGTGGCAGGAGTCACATCCTGCTAATGACATAAACAAAAAAATTCCAGGTTCATGGTGAAAATGCCCCTTGTAACTCCAAAACTTATTAACATAAATAGCAGAGGAGAAACTAAAATGGCGTTTGATAAAAAATCCTTTGTGAAGCTACTTTGGCCCAAGTAGTGTTTGGTAAATTTTTTTTGCAAAGGGCTTTTGGAATTTTCTTTTTTATTAAAAAAAAAAAACTTACCCTACCCTTCATCGGAGCCGGCGAAGGGCTACGGCCGCCGGCGAGCTAGATCTAGCGCCGGTGGCCGTTGCCCGAGGTCGGGCGAGCTAGATCTGGCGCCGACGGCCTTTGCCCGAGGCCGGGCGACCCTTGGCGAGGGTCGTGTGACCCGCCTGAAGTCGCGCGACCGCCCAGGCGCTGCCTGCCTGGGTCATGTGACCTCGCCGACCCGATCCGGTGTCGGCCGCCCTCCCTCGCCGGCCACCCTCACGCAAAAAATGAACAGTAATAAAAGGGGCAAAGTCAGAATAAGCCAGAATAAGTGAAGATAGTTTGGGGCAAAAAAAATTCGGTTTAGCATTTTGGCCAATGCTGGCTTTTGGCCGAAAGCCCATTGGGAATGCTTGCCAAACGGTTTAGCATTTCCCCAAGGGGCTTTCGAGGCCGAAAGCCCCTTCCCAAAGCTGAACCAAACACCCCCAAAATCAAAAAAAGGGCCACAACACATGGGCATGCAGTCACAATCGGCTAAGAACAATTTTCAGCAAGAAATAAGAAAAAGTAAACTTTTAAATCATTTGTGTTAGGACAAGATGTTATACTTGCTACTAATACTTTGAGAAATGGTATACTCTAAAGTTTATGCAACCTATGATCCTATCAGAGCCCACATGAAAGTTTGACTCTCAAAAAATGACCACTTGTCATAGAGAGAGAATCAATGGAAAACGAAATTTGGGGTGGGTACCATTTCTGGTACCAGTTCCGCAACAGGTGCCTAGAAAAGTACACTGGACCACTCTATTTAATAAAGCTGAGACAAAAGAATAATTTAGACACCTTAGAATTGGCTCCAGCCTACAAAATATCTGGTCCAGTAGTCCAATTCAAGAGGAGCTGCTTCATTTGATTAGAGAGAGAGAGAGACAGAAACAGCACATAAAACACAAATTTAGGATCGATATATAATCTATCTTAAACTGCATAGGCACTTTAAGAATACATGACATAAAATTTGAGCTTCAAGTGCCTAAAAAAGTTATATGTCTGGACCATAAACATGTCAACAATCCCATAAAGTTTCCAGCAAGTAAACTTTGTAATGGATAGTTGATGTCTTTACCCACTACATTTAAGTATTCAACCAACTTGAAGCTCCAAAGCTTAACATGTACGACTCAATTCACACAACTAGATACTTCAATAATTGGTGGTTCACGTAAAGTGCTGTTTGCACCCCATTCTGCTTATGTTTTGTTTATGAGTTGATTTACCAAAAACGTAAGAAAACAAGATGCTATGTATGAAGAATTGTAAATATAGATATGAGAGCCATAGAAAGTTCAAGATCCACATAAAGAGCCTAGACTCTTCAAGGTAGAGTTGGCAGAGAAATCCAGATAACTCTTAACAAACCAAAACTGAATAGTTTGAAGAACATGATAGAAAAGAAACCAATGAAATTCACAAGTCCCAGCCATAACAATTTTTCAATTTATCTTACCACAAGATCAAGTCCGCAAAAGGATGCCATAGCCCCTCCCATAGAATGCCCTGTCACCATGACGTTGATGTCTCCATATAGATCCTTGGCTCTTATAACAGCATCCAAAATACCAGGTCGAATTGTCGTATTGTGATAAGCATAATAAAATCCACGATGAACCTAAGCAATAATTAATAGAGTAAGACTGTAACTTAATCCAAATCAGAAGTATCCACAGGTTGCAAGAGGCTTATCATCTCTAGAACTCACCATGGCACCAGGCATGCCAGAGTAGTTTATGTCATGCTGTTTCCAGTAGAGATCTTCAACCCAATTCTGTATGCTGTAGACACAAATAGAAGTAATCACTAACCGAAAAGCTCAAATGATAAAGAGACGTGACACAAATTTTCACTGAAGAAAATTAGTGAAGTATGTAATCTCCTCATGACTCCATCTAAAATTACACGAAAGTTACATGATTCACCCTTTTTCCCTTCATATGGACAGCAGACCCATTTGCCTCGTGTACACATTCACCAAGGCTGCTCTTCTTAGCTTAAATTTTCATCAAGTCCTTTGCATGTCCATTTAAGGGGAAGAATTGCTAAAGCTAACATGCATGCATACCTATGTTCTTGAGTACCTCTGACAGCTATAACCACAGCATTAAGGTCCTTGGCGACCCCAACATATGCCTACAGGTGGTTTAGAAATAGAGACAAACAATTAGATGCAATTCAAACATAGAGGAATCACAAGCATCGCAAATTGGTAGGGCAGTGCAAAACAAATTATATACCTGTAAGCAGTGCTGAACGTCAACTATCAGTTCGATAACTTCAAACCCCTGCTTTCAGATCAAAACACATTATTAACCAGTTCAGAAGCTCATATAACAGTGCAGCATATGCCCACAAATTGTCATCTCAAGAATTGGCTATCTAGTACTAAGGATCCATTCTTCACACGACCTTAGCAACAATGTCATATTAATAAGTAGTGAAATTACCTTGGTCTTTCCATCACATCTAGGACATGTCCAGCTAAAAAGTTCTGTCAAATCTGACATGTAAACCTGCAATAAAAAGCTTTGCATTAAATTACAATTTTATTGCATTGAAATGGTGAAACCTGATGAGTAACAACAACAAGCTCTAGGTAAATATGAAATTTTTTTTAAAGAACACTTACGGCAGATGCATACTCCACCAATATCGTGGCAAGAGTGTGATTGTAAACAGATTTATCAGCCTTTGACCTCACTCTAAGTTCTGCATTTACCAGTAGAGAAAATTTCAGATTGAAATGCGGTCACGAGCTCATTCAATTACAAGCAATGAAGTAAGTTTCTTATGTCTCTTGCAAGTTATTTCGACAAATCAAGCAAGGGGGACACTTTACGGAAACATCAACTCAAAACAATATTTCAGTATATTTCCGCCGTCCTTCTTCGTGAACCGAAAGCACTATATACACAACGCAATGCGATGAAAGGGGAATAAGTGAACAACATAGGGCGCCACTTTCCAATAAAGCTACTCCATGAAAACCTACGGGCAACAGTCCATTACTCAACAAAACCAACCAAACACAACACAACGCCCATCGGTTATATGCTCCGAAAACATCCAAATTGTACACCAGAGGGCATCATACAGCTATAGTTTGCCCCATTCAATCAGGCACTACAGCTCCACGACACAGTCTACGATTTCCCCCAAACCATGAAACACCTAATCCGCCCAAATTCACAATACAAATCTCACTGTCCAAGCTCAAAACCGACCTACTCAATCCCAGAGCCTCTCTATTCGCACCTCATCACAATCAAAACTCCCAAATCCGAATCGAGTCAGAGGACCAGAGCAGCAGTTAACCGATGCCACGAACGCGAATTGCGATTACCTCTCGTCCCGCTCGCGGCAACCAAGCACGTCAGAACCACCATCGCCCTCAACCACGACCCGTTCCGCTCCATTTCCTGCAAGAGAAAACCGGGATCGAACATCGTCCTCGAGACGAAACACGAAACCACGCCAGCAAAAAGCTCAAATCTCTGTTACCTTTCATGTACGCAAAACGCTTTGCGCGCAATCGAACGGCGCGATCGCCCATCGAGATGGAAAGAGAGAGAGAGAGAGATCGAATTCAATCTCGATTCTGGTCTCGCGGGTCCGTGGACTCTTTTACGGCGATTGAAAGATACGGCGACCCGGTGGGCAAGAGGAAAAGAGGGGCACGACGGATTTACGGATCTTTCCTGATTTGCCCTCGGGGTCTGCCTCTGCCGGCGGGGCATATTCGGTGTCAGATTCGGTGATTTCGTCGCTCGCGCGAGGGCAGTGAAGGAAGTTCGGCTGAAATCGGGACGTTGGGAAAGACTGCGCGGCGATTTTCTTCTCCCGTTGTATTTTAAAGCCCCGAGAGGATGAGACGTGCCCTTTCGGACAAATGTGGGGTTTCTATCTTCTCTCCTTTGGAGCTTCCCATGATGCCTCCACATCAGCACTTTGACTCGGCTTGGTTCAAAGTAGAATTCCAAAAAATACGCTAAAATTATATGAAAATGCGACCACTACTTCTGTAAAAAAATTTCGAATTCAAGCTCTGATCGATCTAATAACTCGACTTATTCAAAATTGAGAAAAATGTAATTAAACTCGAGTGACTAGCGAGTGGAGCTTAATCGTGAATCATGGAACAAAATTCAAGGATGCGACTTGCTATCACGTATCGATACTTAAATGCTGTCGGTATACTTATGTTGAACTAGATACTGTAGTTTATGTTCTCGAAAATAAGTCTGCTTATAGAATCCTGAATCGAGCCGTTTTGTCTAAAATATATAAACTATTTATAATGTGAATACATTTGGAACCGATCGCTCCTTAAAAATCACGACTTTGTCGTTTTATAATTGCTCGATTGAATATGTGACTTGTACAAACATTGGGATTAAATACTTTACATGTAAAAAGAATATGAAATAAAATGAGTTTGTAACCTCTGACAAAATATACGATCATCGAAAGCAAATTTGTAGGAGCCAAAAAGTCTTTTTCTCTCCCTCTCTCTTCTTTCATCGTCTCCTTCAACCTTTAGTCATGGGACGAGGATTTGAGGGTTTGAGCTAGTCTCACCCTCCCCCCATCTACTGTTGATTTAAATTGTGTTTTATTGTTCTTTTCTTATTTTTCTTCTTTCCCAATTTAAATCCGAGAGCTCTCTTCTTCCGATGTGGCTCCAAATGTGAGAGTTTGAACTTTCCCAATCTATTTCTAGATTTAGGAGCTATCATCTCTCGATCTATGTTTGGGAGTTTAATAAATATGCTTTTGGAAATTCGATACCCCTATGCTCTATCCGTATATAGGTTCTTTGTCTCTGGCTTCAATGGGATCACAAGAGTTTGGCGTCTCAGTGAACCACGAAAATTTGCTCTTCCAGGCGTTAAATATGTGTTTGTTGAACTTGTTTTGGTTATCTCCGTACGATGACGGTGTAAAGAAAGCTGAACCTAGGTGCGTGTCGCCAACTGATAATGTCGTAATTATTTGAGAAGAAATTTTCGGTTTGTGCTCATTACCTGCGAAGATACGATATCTAGCGATCGGCTACTGATTATTTTACTTGACAGATCCATTCTTGCGGAACAAGTGTGTATTTAATCCTGTCGGTGCTCCATTGATCCTCTTTATTTTCTTGTTTTGGCTTTGTGTGACAATATTCTGGGTTTCTTTGTCATGAAATTTAAGTACTTCTCATGTATCCTTTTGAGCAATATTTTCCTTTGACTAAAACAAAAAAACCTCAGACAAAAAGTCAAGAATGTACATTTTAAGAAGGCAAAGAGTGTGAATAAATTTATTTTTTTTATTTCACATTTAGCTCACTAATAATATAAATAAGAAAGTAATGCGTGGTACGTGCCATATTCGGTGGCTCTTGCAAGTTTATATTGGTAGTGGAATATTTATAAAACTACAGTGAAATTAATTCACAAAAAAAACGGATGTTACAAGCCTACATTTGTTTTTCAGAAAAAAATGATTTGAAAAATAATTTCCTAAAAATATTATTTATTTTACTTGAAATAATTATTTAATTGAAAATGTTTTTGTTATTGACGAAAATTAACGTTTAAATATTTTCGTAGATAATGATAATATTTTCTGTTCATTTATTTTTATAAGCGATAATTTTTAGGAAAATATATTCTAAATCATTCATTGCAAATCAAACGAAGATTTAACAAAACAGTGAGATTCGAGAAAAATTATTGCGAAGAGTAAGGCTTTGTTCGTTTCATGGAAAATATTACGTTTCTGGAAAATGTTTTCCAGGAAGCCATTTTCCTAGAAAATGATACAATTTTCTGATGTTCGATTAAAATCTAAAAAAGTCTAGAAAATGATACAATTGTCCGGTGTTCAACTGAAATCTGAAAAAGTCTCGGAAAATATTTTTCATTGTTTGGTATAGAAAAGATTTTCGTCCTTGCACTACTTTTAATAAATTTTTAATTTTTTAAAATTTTCTTTTTTTTCCTTCTTCCTCGGCTGCCGCCGTGACCGATGACCGGCCGGAGAAGAAGATAGAAAAGAGAAAGAAAAAGAACAAAGAAAAAAATAAAAATATAATAAAATATTAGAATTCCTCTGATGCCTCCACATCAGCACTTTGACTCGGCTTGGTTCAAAGTAGAATTCCAAAAGATGCACGTAAAATTGGTGCTAATATTCGTGGAGGTTTATGAAAATGTAAGTGCAACTTCTATCAAATGTTTTCGAATTCAAGATCCAATTGATCTAATAACTCGACTTATTCAAAATTGAGAAGAATGTAATTAAACTCGAGTGACTAGCGGGTGGAGCTTGATCATGAATCATGGAACAAAGTTCGAGGATGCAACTTACTATTGCGTATCGATACTTAAATACTCTTGGTGTACTTATGTCGAACTAGATACAATAGTTTCTATTTTTGAAAACAAATCTACTTATAGAATTTTGAGTCGAGAAGTTTTTGTCTAAAATAAACAAACTATATATAATATGAATACGTTTGGAACCGATCGCTGCCTTAAAAATTATGACTTTGTCGTCTTATAATTGCTCGATTGAATATATGACTTGTACGAACATTAGGATTGTATACTTTACATATAAAAAGAATATCTCCCCCCTTCAAAATCGGACGTGAAAGTTTCCGTCCGTCCGGCTCAAGTAATTACACCAAATATAAAAGGGGGTTTTCTCTTTCAAATTCTCGAAAAACCTCCAAAAATCTACTCCTTCCTCGAATAAGCAGTGAAGAACACAGCAACATTTCATTGATTCATTCTTATTTTCATTTTATTTAGATTTTTTGAATTCTTTGTTCAATTATGAATTACTACATAAATGAAATTTGAAATTCTTGAGCAGTCTACTTCCCTTTGAACAATCCATTGGGTTGTAATTCCTAAGGGATTTACTTTCTATGTATCCTTCCATTCCATCTTTTAGGTCCGGACATCACCTCGACGGTTATGCTACAATCTACTTAAAGTCTATATGCGATGGATAGACTCCTGCAACCATGACATAATTGCTACCTGAACATAAAAATAATTTCATTTCCTTCTAAAAGAAATTGATGATTAATTTCACAAAATGAAGAAGTCTTTTGGTCCAACTAAAAATGACTATTTCTTTTTTACTGAATCGACCATAGACCAATCCCCTTGGAATAGTTCATACACCCATAATTCTGAGCTTCATGTTACTCCTTTCATGAGACATGCCAAATCTCGAGCATCCCAATTTGGTTGACTGGAATGATTGTTTCTCATTTCAAATTTGTAAAATTAGAATTTCAATCAATAAAATGAGTTTGTAACCTCAGACAAAAAGTCACTAATGTACAGATTAAGAAGGGAAAGAGTGTGAATGAAATTTTTATTTTGCATTTATTTCACATTCAGCTCGTACTAATTATATAAATAAGAACATAATGCGTGGTTGTGCCATATTCGGTGGCTCTTGCAAGTTTATATTGGTAGTGGAATATTGTAGTGAAATTAATTCACAAAATAAGTAGAAGTTAAAAGACTATTTGTTTATAAAAAAAACGAATGATTTGACAAATAATTTCTTAAAAATGATCATTTATATTACTCGGATAATTGCTTAATCGAAAATATTTTTGTTATCGACGATAATTAATGCTTAAATATTTTCGTGGATAATGATAATATTTTCTATTAATTTATTTTTGTAAGCAATACAAATAATAATCTTAAAAAAAATCATTTTTCAAATAATTCATCACAAATCAAACGAAGCTTGAAGAAAAAAGTGAGATTTGAGAAAAATTATTGCGGAGCAAAATGATCAATTTTGTAGAGACTAATCTTCAAATCATTTCCTTCATATGTAGTATAGATAAATCCATTGCTCAATTGACTTAGCTCAAACTTTATAAGTACGAAACTAATTTATTCACCAAATCCTTTTTTTTTTTCATCAGCCTCATACACTTCACATTCACTTTATGAAGAAAATTCACAACCCACCTCCAAACATGGTGACCCAATCATAAAGGGGTCGCATAGTCTTTCGTGAGCTCATAAATTCGAATCATATCCGAAACGAACTTCTAAGTTACATTTATTACCTCAACGAGAAAGACTTTCAAACTTACAATATGTCGATGAGATTTATAACGATAGACATATATTCATATGAATAGATCGACTAGTAATGAATTAAATTGCACATATTGCAACGGGTAGTAGTAGTGGTAACTACTTCTTCGTATTTTGGTTATTAAAAAAAAATCGCGACCCATCACGGCTTGGGCGGCAAGGCCAAGTCCGACCACCGCCCTGATCTTCGAGCCGCGCGGCGCGGGTCCACATCCCGCACGCGAGCCGGCGCTGGCTTCACTTCCCGCGGCGGGAAACGAAAACAAAGACTGGCGGGAAATTTTCGCACCCATTCGCATTACACGAAAAAGAAAAAAGAAAACTACCCCGAAAAGAATAATAAGAAATAATAATAAAAAGCGGAAAAACTATTAAAACAAAAATACGAAAAATCACAAACCCTCCTCCCCCTCCTCCTCGCTTCCTCCATTTTCGGACACCGTCTCCGACTCCTCCCCTCCTCCTCCTTCCTCCCCCTTTTTTAAATTTCGGATCGCCGCTTCCGATTCCGATTCGGCCTCTCACGCACTCTCTCCATCTCTAGAACGATCGGCGACGAACTCGATCGATCCGCCGATCTGCGCCGGGGAGCAGGCCTCCAGCGCCGACGACAGCCGCCATGGCGAGGCCCTCGAAGCAGCCGGCGTCGTCCGACGAGGCCCTGTCTGACGGCTCCGAGGAGGAGGAGCCGCAGCAGCAGCAGCAGCTCAACGAGCCGGTCGACGAGGAGGACGAGGAGGAGCTCGAGGCCGTCGCCCGCTCGGCCAGCTCCGCCGACGAGGACGACGACGACGCCGCTCCTGCCGCCGGCGCGGCCGACGAGAATGGCGAGGCCGAGGAGGAGGAGGATGACGACGAGGTTCGGTTGTTTGCCTGCGTGGTTTCTGCTGGAATTTTGGTGCCGGATCTTTTCGTTTGCTTGCTAGGGTTTGCGGGGGTCGGTGCGGTTATAGGTCTCTCTGGTGTTTTGCGCTGGGAAGTGGATGTCCGCTTCGTGTTTGAATGCGAGTTTTTGAAGAAGGTTTAGAATGAGCGCTGGATTTCGATCGAGGATGTTGAGTTAGGACACTCGAGAGACGAGTTGCTGTTCTACTGGTCTCTCGTGATTCTTTTACTGCATTCGTTTCTGCAGATTGGCGCTTGCTGTATTGATCCTCCGCTTTACTAGCGTATTGCGCAGAATGAAGTCTAACAATGCACAAGTATACACGCATAATTACATGTTCTGTAAGGTTAAATTCGCACAAGAGCTGTGGCATTTTCGAGGTGAACTTATGTCTTGCTCTTCTTGCGGGGTTTACTATTTTCTGGTGTACTCTCAGTTGGATGAAGAAGAGTAGAAGTTAGGAGTTTCTCTTGCTCGTAGTGTAGGCACGGTATTCAATTTTAATATTGTGCATGCCAATAATTATGCCTTCTTTGAGAGGAATTTCTGTTTGTTTTACTGTTTTTTTTCCTAGTGGGTTGGTTTTGCATCTCCATGGCTAGAGGACTCGAGCAGGTCTGCAACTGTTCATGTTTCTTTGAAACTGATGACTGGGGTTTTCCCCTTTTATTTTAACATTTCCTTGTGATTAAAGCTTCATCAATCGCCTCACCATTTACAAAGTGGGAAACAATGGCAACCATAGCTCGTCTATCTTGCTTTGTTTCTGTCTTTACAAACACAACTTAAGTTGGCTAGTGCTTCCATACGTCTGAAATGTTGTTAGATACTTGTAAGTATGACCCAGTGAGGATCAGAAGCGTTGCTGCTATTTATTTATTTTTGTATTCTTTTTCCCCATTCATTCTGCAGGAAGACAATGTTGGGACAGAAGTGAGCAAGCGTGAGAAGGCCAGGCTTCGTGAAATGCAAAGGTTGAAGAAGCAGAAGATTCAAGACATATTGGATCAGCAAAATGCCGCTATTGACGCTGATATGGTGCCTTTACATTTTAAGAATGACTCTTTCTTGCATTATTTCGAGCTCGTGTATTGATTGTGACTAAAATTTTCTTGTTTTTGAAATTATTTTTCAAGAATAATAAGGGAAAAGGGCGGTTGAAGTATCTCCTGCAGCAAACTGAGATTTTTGCTCATTTTGCCAAAGGCAACCAATCCGCTTCACAGAAGATCAAAGGAAGGTACTATTAAAAATGACAATTCTCTCTGTGTTTTGTGCATTGGAGATATAATTTCTAGTACATATGTTACTTTCGACTGCCTACTGAACAATTTCTGAATTGGTCCTAACTTTCTTCAGACTTCATAGTTGCTTAATTGGGACTGAAAGCTTTGTTTGATCCTTGATGGACGTTTAGCTTTATATTATTAAATGCCTAATGCCGGATTTCTTTAGAGGAAAGGTGCCTACGGTCCAGTGGTCTAACCCTAGCTAGATTTCCAGTTACATTTGGTGTTAAGGTTCAATATTCAAAGGGAATTGAGATTTGCTAACATTTGTGCAAATGAACTGTTAGTTTGTAACCTTATATTGATTGTTCTCTCCCAGTGGACAAATAAACATCTGCTCATGCTTAAAAGTGGAGAAAACACGTTTGGGAAGTTCAAGTCATAATTTCCCAGACCATTTCTGTGTTTAGCATTCATGATTGTTCATTAACGTTTTTCTTTGCTTAATGTGTAGGGGTCGTCATGAATCTAAAATTACTGAAGAGGAAGAGGATGAAGAATGTCTTAAGGAGGAAGAAGATGGCTTATCTGGTACAGGAAACACGCGGCTGGTGACCCAACCCTCTTGTAATCTCTCTCTCTCTCTCTCTCGATTGGTCGAAAGAAGGATAGTCTTTGCCGCTTATATCTCTCCTGTAACCCTGCTTTAACTTGTAGAAGTGGTATTGTTTGCTGCAATTTCAGAACGCTAGGTAATGAGGGATTGTAAATGTTCTTGGTGTTGACATGATTTCTTATCACTAAGAATTAGAACACTCCAAGTTCTTACTTTGGTTTTGACAAAGTAGAGGTTTTTGGCTTCCCTTTCCCAACCCTTGTCTAGGCAGGAACCTCATGCACTGGGGACACCCTTTATTGTATTGTCATCTAGCTCTAAAGAGATTCTCTTTTGGTCTGATTTATCCAATTATCTTGCCAACAGGATATCTCCAGCATATATAAGTTCACTGCTTTCTTAAGTTCTATTTGTATGCTTGTTTTGCAGGTATACAAGGGAAGATGAGGGATTACCAGCTTGCTGGATTGAATTGGCTCATAAGATTGTATGAGAATGGCATTAACGGAATACTTGCAGATGAAATGGTAGGTCACAGGCTGTAGCATTTAGATGTAATAACTTTTTAATTCGACTTTGAGCTTGATTTATATTGCACATTCAGCTCATGAGTAATCATGCAATGATCTTTATTTATTATTGTACCTGATATTGGTTGGTCTCAGGGTCTTGGAAAGACGCTGCAGACTATCTCGTTAATGGGCTATCTGCATGAGTTCAGAGGAATTACTGGTCCTCACATGGTTGTTGCTCCAAAGTCAACTCTGGGTAACTGGATGAATGAAATTCGCCGCTTTTGCCCAGTTCTCCGTGCTGTAAAGTTCCTTGGTAATCCAGAAGAAAGGGTATAGCTTTCGTGCACTGTTGCTCACTTTTATGGTACATACAAATGCCAAGAAGAGTAATTAATGTAACACTTTTTTACTGCTGCAGAGGTATATACGTGAAGATCTATTGGTTGCTGGGAAGTTTGATGTATGTGTTACCAGTTTTGAGATGGCAATTAAAGAGAAGTCTGCCTTGCGCCGATTTAGCTGGCGATATATAATAATTGATGAAGCCCACAGGATCAAGAACGAAAATTCTCTACTTTCAAAAACGATGAGGCTGTATAATACCAACTATCGTCTCCTCATCACTGGTACACCGCTTCAGGTACATTCTTTACCTTGGATTTGGAAGCTTTGAGAAATTGCTTTTAATCATTGACCTCCTGGTTATCTCTAGGTTATTTTCGACCAAAAAAAAAAATCTCTAGGGTATTTAAGAAATAGGCTTCACTCTTTAGGAGAAGCTGCTCTGAATAGTGAAACTTAATTGGTACATTGTATATATCTAATGCATCACAAATTTACATCGGATGGATATTTTCATTGTGGAAATATAGGTTATTTCTCCCTTTCTGTCTCCAAGTCAAGTTTCTGTGATGAGGAAATAGAGGTTTTAATTTTATGACATCCATGTCATAGAAACTTTCAAATCTTAATCAATTTTTAGCTCTTCCTCTGTAGTATGTTCAGTAGATTTTACTAGAGTTAATCCCTTGAATCTGCTCAACATTTCTACAAAGATTGGTTCTTTTGCACTGGGTTTTCTTTTTTCAAATTTCGATAAAGTGCTGTTTCTTAGGATGCTGCTGTTGTTCTTTTGCTACAGAACAATCTCCATGAGCTGTGGTCTCTTCTGAACTTTCTGCTTCCAGAAATATTCAGTTCGGCAGAAACTTTTGATGAGTGGTTTCAAATTTCTGGTGAAAATGATCAGCAGGAAGTTGTCCAACAACTTCATAAGGTAGGCCTGAAACTATTGTTTTGGAACAATTTGATGCCTTTATATGATTTCTTACTTTTTCATTTTTCTAAATTAAGGTTCTCCGGCCCTTTCTCCTCCGAAGGTTGAAGTCAGATGTAGAGAAAGGTTTGCCTCCTAAGAAGGAAACAATCTTGAAAGTTGGCATGTCTCAGATGCAAAAACATTATTACAGAGCTTTACTGCAGAAAGATTTAGAAGTCGTTAATGCTGGTGGAGAAAGAAAGCGTCTCTTGAATATAGCAATGCAGTTGCGTAAATGCTGTAATCATCCGTACCTTTTTCAAGGTGCTGAACCGGGCCCTCCTTATACGACAGGAGATCATTTGATAACCAATGCAGGTAAGATTCTGTTTGAAGTGGAGTTTGTGGTGCCTCCCTATCAGATAATGGCTGATGCCCTTGTGTATTAATTTTAATTGCAGGTAAAATGGTTCTTTTGGATAAGTTGCTTCCAAAACTAAAAGAACGTGATTCTAGGGTCCTTATTTTTTCACAGGTAAAGTGACCTTTGAAACATTATTCTTTCATGAGTGCTGTGAAATAAGGATGTGTTTGTATATGTGGTGTTCTTTCCTTTTGAGCATCACGTACAATGTGATTGATTCTTTTCCCTGGTGGATGGCTTGGTTCCAAATTCAGATGACAAGGTTGCTGGACATTCTTGAGGATTACTTGATGTTTCGTGGGTACCTGTATTGTCGGATTGATGGTAATACAGGTGGAGAAGAACGTGATGCTTCCATTGACGCTTTCAATAAGCCAGGAAGTGAGAAGTTTGTATTCTTGTTGTCCACAAGAGCTGGTGGTCTTGGCATTAATCTCGCTACTGCAGATGTTGTCATTCTCTATGACAGTGACTGGTTGGTCTTACCTCTGAGTTTTACTTGAGCTATCGTGTCCTCCTCTTTTTCATCTCGTGGCTAATATTATGACTTTTCGTTCTTTCAGGAATCCACAGGTTGATTTGCAAGCACAGGATCGTGCACACAGAATTGGTCAGAAAAAGGAAGTTCAAGTGTTTAGATTTTGCACAGAGGTTTGTGTTGCTTGTCTCTATAACTTTGAAGGAAGTTATTTCTATTGTTCTGGTACTAATCACATGGTGACTATTTGTGATTTAGTACACTATTGAGGAGAAAGTGATTGAGAGGGCCTACAAAAAGCTTGCCCTGGATGCCTTGGTGATTCAGCAAGGACGATTGGCTGAGCAGAAAAGTAAGATGTTACTTAATTAGTACATTCAGTGTGTAGCTGGTTTCTAAGTTGTGCCACTCATATCTTTTGGTATCTTGCTCCATGCAGCTGTCAATAAAGATGAGCTGCTTCAAATGGTCAGATTCGGTGCAGAAATGGTTTTCAGTTCTAAGGATAGCACCATTACAGATGAGGATATTGACAGAATTATAGCCAAGGGAGAAGAGGCAACAGCTGAGCTTGATGCCAAGATGAAGAAGTTTACAGAGGATGCAATCAAATTCAAGATGGACGACAGTGAGTATACTGATGCTTTAAAATATTTCATTAGTTCAATCGCAAAGTTGCTCACATCTGCCCTGTGTCACTGCAGCTGCTGAGCTCTATGATTTCGATGATGAAAAGGTAAATTTGATCCAATGGTCCTTGGTCTATATTAAGTAATCTGTGTGGCATCTGCATCAGGCATATCTATGTAGTTTAGGTGGTTTAATTGGGTGCTTCTTAGTGCAGGAGGATAGTAAGTTTGACTTTAAGAAAATCGTCAGCGAAAACTGGATTGAACCTCCAAAAAGAGAGCGGAAGCGCAAGTACTGATTTTTTTTTTTTTTTAAAGTTTCTGTGCATCTAATTTTGTTTCCCTTCACACCTTATCACACCTTACCATATCATATTATTGGCTTCTCTTCCTGAATTAGCTACTCGGAATCTGAGTACTTTAAGCAAACGATGCGGCAAGGTGGACCTGCAAAACCCAAAGAGCCTCGAATTCCTCGCATGCCTCAACTGTAAATTTCTCGAGCTGCCTTCTCTTTGACTTAGGAATGTGTTCTGACATTCTGTAATAATCTTTCGCTTTTATTTTCTGTTGCAGGCATGACTTCCAGTTTTTCAACACTCAAAGGTTGAGTGAGCTATATGAAAAAGAAGTACGCTATCTCATGGTGGGTATAAATGATTTAACATTTTCTGTTGCCATTTACCCGTCTAGCTTGAAACTGTTCTTGAATCTTGACATGTTTATCTATATTCGATTTTGCAGCAAACACATCAGAAGAATCAAATGAAAGATGCAATAGACGTGGATGAGACTGAAGGTACTTTTAGTGCACATTGGTTTCTCTGATGAAGGATCTTGTCATTTTATGCTAACTGAGCATTTAAATTTCAGATGTAGGAGATCCATTGACAGCTGAGGAGCTGGAAGAAAAGGAGAGGTTATTGGAAGAGGTACTTGCCTGAGTGTGTATATTTGTTTAATGGGATAATGTTCCTGTTGAGTCTTTCTTAATATCATATAATTGGTATTTCTTAGGGATTTTCAACATGGAGTAGAAGAGACTTTAATACCTTCATCAGAGCTTGTGAAAAGTATGGCCGGAATGACATCAAGAGTATTGCTTCTGAGATGGAAGGTAAAACAGAGGAAGAAGTTGAAAGATATGCAAAGGTTTTTAAAGAAAGATACAAGGAATTGAACGGTGAGTATCCTACTTTGGCAATTTCTTCCATTTTGGCCTTGAGTGGCTAATGTGGGATAATATGATGTCTTGACATACGTTAGGGCCATATTGTGGTATATTGTCTGTTGAGCAATGGACTTCAGAAACTGTATAAGAAACTTCATAATTGCAAGAGTTGGGATGTAGACATCGTGCTTCTTTGTTCACCAGAAGCTCTTTCTTCAACTTGATTAATGGAGATTACTTCATTTTGCTGAGGACAACTCTGTTACATCTCTGCAAAAACTGTCGGACAAGTTGATTGATGATAACATGTTAAATGTTACTGGAAACTATTTGGTTTATTATGAAGTGCCTGGTTTTGCCTAAACTCATCGGTGGCCCATCCTATAACAAATAGTACACTGCACTAAGTCTCGCTTTCAGACAGTAGATTCTGATGTGCTTTAATGGGAACAGATTTGTGTGACTTTTCAGAAACATCATGAAATTGTTTACATGTGGCCTCTTCTTGTTTTTGAGCCTGTATTGATTGCTTCTGGATACTTTGCAGATTATGATAGAATTATAAAAAATATTGAACGCGGAGAGGCTAGGATATCTCGAAAAGACGAGATCATGAAAGCTATTGGAAAGAAATTGGATCGCTACAAGAATCCATGGCTGGAATTGAAGATTCAGTACGGTCAGAACAAAGGAAAATTGTACAACGAAGAATGCGATCGGTTCATGGTCTGAATGTTATCCCATTTATGTGTTTAGGGACAAGTCACCACAAAATAGTTTGTTCCCATAAGTATTAGTCCTGTTTAACCTTTTTGTGATTTTACTGGTTCACTGTCACAGATATGCATGGTTCACAAGCTTGGGTATGGAAACTGGGATGAACTGAAGGCGGCTTTTCGCACATCACCTTTATTTCGGTTTGATTGGTTTGTGAAATCTCGCACAACTCAAGAGCTTGCGCGGAGGTGTGACACACTCATTCGGTTGGTGGAGAAGGAAAATCAAGAATATGACGAGAGGGAGAGGCAAGCCCGTAAAGAGAAGAAGCTTGCCAAGGTTGATTTCCCTCGTGAAACTGATAATGACGCCCTCTGGCATATCTTCGTTTTCAATGTGCTGTTGCTTAAGATGGAAGAAGCGTGTCATCCATTAGTGACTAACCATTTGTTTTCTTGAATTTTAGTCTCAGAGCATGACGCCATCAAAGCGGGCCGTGTCTAGGCAGGCCAACGAGAGCCCAAGTTCCCTAAGGAAGCGCAAGCAATCGTCCATGGATGACTATCTCAGCTCGGTAAGTACCCTGTTTCCCCTTTCATTGCTATTTCCATTTATATTTAGGAGCAATTGGACTCAGCTGACACTGAGAAGCTAACAATGGGGTCTTTAGCAGGGAAAGAGGAGGAAATGAAGGAATTTGGCAGAGGACAAGTATTACAAGAGAAGTCAGTTAATGTTGGGCCCCCCTCATTGCGACCGTCTACTCCTACTTTTTGAATTTGCGGTGGAAGGTTAAGGGTAGTAATTACATAGCGATATTGCTAAGTATGGTAGTTTTTCGAAGTTGTACACCAAATGATGAATACCAGCTCCAAAATGACCGCATATTTCGACCCTTGTAATGGCTTCCGGTCCGTGGAGCTCTATTCAATTAACATACCTTAGCGGGGACAGGAGAGTTTGTTGTTCATTCTTATCGTTATTCAGTGGATACTGACCGTCGTTTATATGCGTAACTTACAAAGTTCTCTAAAATGATTATCTCCCGTACTGGCAACAACAGAAGAAAGAAAAAGAGGGAAGCAAGCGGGTTTAGAGCTAAAGACACATTAGAGAGAGAGAGAGACTGGAAAAAGGGGTGCAGCAATTGGGAATTCCACACCAAATGTCATCATGTACAGAACACATCCAAGGGGGGCAAAAATGAGACATTCTCCCCCTCTCCTTTCACCATGAACTGGAAATCCTACTTACATATCAAGAGCTTATAGATCCTGCGGCATACGGGCTAAAAAGGACATTACAGCACCATAGTTTCCAATATACCAAAACCATCTCTCTTTTTTTTTGAACCGTTTTTCTTCCTGTACGTCACATGATAATGTGGATGTTTCAACTAGAAGAATTGACAGAAAAAAAAGGACAAGCAGCATCAACGTCGGACACAACGAACCCCCTTATTCATAACCCTTAGTTTCAACCAGAAGCAGCCTTCTCGTGATCAAGTAAAAGCCGACATGGCAGCAGCTCTGAGTCTCGGTGTGCGTCTTATTCGTTCGTGGAATCGAAGCTACCCACTGCACCCGCACGCTTTCTCTCCCTCCAGTTCTCACCCCATACTTTGGCTTCCGCCACCGCGCGTTCTCTGTCCAGGTCACGGTTCCTTGGAGTCTCTCTCCCTCTGCCTGCACTCCCCGGGCTGTCTCTGTGGGAGTCTGCCCGCTCAAGGTCATCCAGACCCCACTTCCTCCCAGACCCACCGCCAGTTTCAGTGCGCCCCAGCTCAGCTCCGCTAGTCAATTGCCTTCCTTGGTCTCTCTTTCTGAAATCGGGCGAATTCCTGTGAGTGGAAGGGGAACCGCGATACCCATCCGGGCTATCCAAACCGTCAGCCGTGCCCCTCCGGTCATCCCTAATCCTCGGAGTAGAAGGACCCACTCGGTTGCTTTGGCCAGAAGCTGAGTTTGGGTCGTAAGTTTGGGAGGCCAAATATGTAAGAGCTGTCACAACGTCTCCTATTAAAGGCCTCGTGGCTGCCTGTTCTTGTAGGCACATTGCGGCAACTGCTAGAGCTTGGTAAAGTCCACGCATTGGGTACCGCCCTTGCAGTAGAGGGTCGGCCATCTTGGGGAACTTTCTACGGTCTTTGAAGAGCGGCCGAGCCTACAAACCACGTCATATTAGAAGAGAGGATTCTCAGCTTGCATTGTTTCATTGAAAAAACAAAATCCACAAACAATGTCTGTTCCTTGTAAGGTGCACAACAAATGATTCAGAAAAATATGAGAAACCTACCCATGCCACAAGATTATGTTCCCCAGGAGCCCTTGAGTTGTCAATTGCCTTGCGCCCAGTTATGAGTTCAAGAAAGACAACTCCAAAGCTGTAGACATCAGATTTTAGAGTTAGTTGGCCAGTCATTGCATATTCAGGAGCACAATAACCATATGTCCCCATAACACGCGTCGAGACATGAGTTTTGTCCCCAACAGGCCCCAGCTTTGCAAGCCCGAAATCTGATAATTTAGGGTGGAAGCCCTCGTCAAGAAGGATGTTGGAGGATTTTAGGTCTCTGTATATAACTGGAGGATTTGCTTTGTCGTGCAAATACTCCAAGCCCTTGGCTGCTCCAGCTGCTATCTTCATCCTTGTGTTCCAGTCCAGAGGCTCCTTATCCGGAGGAAGATCTAAAAAGACAATTCAAATGGCAATTAAATGGCCTCAAGCATTTGCCTACTGTGTATTATTCGAATAGGAGGAAGTCACTGAAATGCCATTATCGATAAAAAAATAATACGTAAGTATTGTGTCCACCTCCCCTGGAGGCTGGTGGTACTGTGTCCACCTCTCCTCGCAGTACGCAAACCGCCTCATTTCAAGCATTCAGCATTTTCCGACTTGCATGTGCTTATATTGCTCCTAAGAATACCGAGTCTTTCCAGGTCAAACCTTTCAAAGGGCCACTTATAGATATTTTGTTGCCAAGGATATCATCTTGATCACCAAGTCTCCTACTTTTGCTAACACTCAATGCTAAAAAATATCAGCAAGTCATCTTAACCAATTTGTTGTGCAGCTTAAAGCTAAAAGAGAAGTAATTGATTCTTAAGTGTGGTGCCGTGGTGGTGGGTCCTGCGCTAGCGTCACCCCAGGTTTACCCCTCCGGCTGTCGGCCGTGCGGGGGTTCCTGGGTTATCAAAAAAAAAAAAAAAAAAAAGAGAAGTAATTGTTTGTTTTTCACTAACATCCATCTGATTAATTCATATGAAGACCTCATTTAATGACTCATCCCCAGACAAAAGAGGAATGATTCGAACAAGTATTTGAGTAGAAATCTATTAGATCGTGAGCAATCTCATTCACAAGGTTGGGATTTCATTCTCCTGAAGTAAGTCTTTTCATGGATAGCTGAGGCATTTGTTACTAGGAAAACATGTGAGCAGGAGGACTTGCTAGTTGATGGAAACCAGTGACCTACCTAGCTAATCCATCTATATCAAATGAGTCAACATTAGCCCGTTGGATCAACTAGTTATTCAAGTTGTCAACAACAGGGGCTCTGACTTCCAAATAAAGTAGCCATAGATATTCAAACTGGTAAATCAAGATATGATATTTTTCCTTCCAATCATTACCATGCCAACAATGGCCAGTATCAGCTTGACAGCCCTTTCAGCCATGTTACTTGATGAAAGCTCTATACCAATGCTCTAACACGAGTACCAATTTAAGGTGAAGTCTTATATAACTATTCTACCGTATCATTTTGCAGGGCTTCAGTCATGATTCTAGATTCTCCCTATGGAGGACAAGGGTTGTCAAAGCTTTAAACCATGTCAAAGAATGCGACAATGAGATACCGATGGACCATTTTGAGAGAACAAAAACAAAGTCAATCCTAAGTGCACAAAAGGAGAGCCATCTACATAGATCTCTACGGTATGCATGTAGGTGTAGAGATAGATCTTTTTAAAGTAAACAAAGAATTATCAGAGGTATGATGCATGGACCTTCACAATCTGGAAATAGCTAACATTTCTAAAACTATAATTTAAGTTTCATCTGAGAAAGCTTTCTACTTTAATCTGTTTTTCTGTAATAAAATTCAAACAAAGCATTTAAATCGGGCATCTAATTTCCTATCTTATACTCAAACAACAAAGTCAAGATGGACGAGAAAATTGTGCAAAAGCTAAAGGGTGTTTGTTTTACAGAAAAGTAACAATTTTAAAAAATATTCCTAATGCTAATCATTTATATCATTCAGAAAAATTAGTCAATGGAAATTATTTTCATTATGAACAACAATTTATGCCTAAACATTTTCGTTGATAACGAAAACATTATTCGTTCATTTATTTTGAGCGGCAAGGGTGATCATTACGTGGACAACATTGTCCAAATTATTGATTCTCCCAATCAAAAATGCACTCTAAGCATGCATTTTTTTTTTCCAAAGAATCATTTGGTGTCTACAACACGTCTAGTATTAACTATCAGCAATGGAAAATTAAGTTGAACATACATTTTCACCAAACTGATACTCCAGTATTAGGAGGATCGCCTTGTCATTTGAAAAAATCTTCCAAATGACAGCATGATGTCTTATAGTACAGCAAAGTACTAGAGAGAAATACCATCCAGTGTTTAAACCAGAGAAATATGACATCACTAGGTGGATAAAAACACTTGAAGCCAACTACAAAAGTTCTAATGATGATTTGAGAAAGTTGATATATTACATGTGCTTTTTTATTTGATACACTTCCATAAGGACAGTCATGACTCTTCATATAAGCCTATGCGTGATATTAAATCCATTTTGCCAATCACCGTGGTTTTAGTAACTTCCATTCCAATTACCATGGTAATATTTATCAAGAATGAACCTTGTATTGGTCTATCTCCTGCCAGGATATAAAGGATTTCAGCAGAAGAAACAGGTGAGCTTGCAGCGGAACTTGAAGTGGCTTGTCAAGCCTTTCAAACCACTTACTATAGAAGGAAGCCGCCTTGTATTCAAAAACCATAAGTGGAAGGTTACTAAATCTTGTAACCAAAATAAAAGAATGTTAGTCAATGGCAATTCTGGTTCTTTTATTAATCTCCAACATCTCTCCACCTTCGTCAAAGCCATTGCAGCCTCTTTATTGTCAAGCTTTTCAACCTCTAAAAGTGTCTGGTTAATTTCGTTTCCAACGTTTCCCACCTTCTAATGACTCCACTGCTTTCAAATATATTTAATCCGCTTCAGCTTCGAGAAAAGAGAAACTGTAGTATCCCCCGGCAGAACTATTCTTCCAGCTATTATTAACTACCTCTTCGAAGTCTTCTACTTTTAGACATATTTTTTAATCTAAAAGGAGGTGTGCCCACCTAATACCTCTCACTATGAAAACTATAGGATGGTGATCTAAAGTCGACCAAGGTAGAAACTTTGGCACACGTTCGGGTTCTTAAAACATTTTTTGTTCAGTCGAAGTCTCCCCCAATCACATAAGGCACATCCCCTTTGCTTTCCATCACAAAAAGCTCGTCCAAGAACAAATTCCTAGCAGAACCTTCTCCTAGAGAATATCTCTCACGTTTAAAACAATAGGATGGTGATCTAAAGTCGACTGAGGTAGAAGCTTTGGCACTGAGTTCAGGTTTTTAAACTTTATTTGTTTAATTGAAGTCTGCCCCAATCACCTAAGGCACTTCCCATTTGCTTTCCATAAGGAAAAGCTAGTCCAAAAGTTCCTGGCCGAACCCTCTCCTAGAGCATACAGCTAAACTTACCCAAGAAATAAGGTTCAGGGAACAAACAGTTGAAGGAAAAATCAGAGAAAGGTCGTCAGAGGCAATGGGGAAGTCACAAAGTTGCGTAGGTATTTCATAGGTCAGAGAATATTTGGTTCAGGTGAGCAAAACAGAAGAGGCATGGGAAGGGTCAGACGGAGGTTGTTGGAGGTGAAGCCATCTGACATC